CTAGGGGGTTGGTCAGTGAAAAGGAACACAGATCTGACAGTCATCCTTCACCTCAGAAAGGGCAGAGGCTCTGCAAAGAGCAGGATGGTGTGCTGAGCCTGTCCTGTCCAGTCTTGAAATGCTAAATAGGCAAGTAACTGTGATCTGGAGGCAGAGTCTGAGACACACTGAGGAGCACTTTGCCCTCTTTGTCAGTTCCAGCTGGCAGGGAGTCAGCAGCAGGGGCCCTTTGGCCTCTGGGTCAGTGCCAGCTCTGTGGTGGAGGCTGGCACCCTAGAGTGCCATTTGCTTGCCCTTTGCATACCTGTGCTGACTTCAGTGTCCTGGCATAGTAAAAGTGGGTGACACAGGCACCTGGACAGTGGGCTTTTAAAAAAAATTGCTTTTCCCCTGCCGGGGTCAGCTGTCACTCGTCTCTGCCCCAGCACGGGAAAAGGTGGTTCTGGGCAGGCCGCGCTTTTGGAGAAGTAGTCTGGACTCTTGCTTTTGGTCTTCAGTTGGGTTTATTGTTCCTTATCTACAAAGTTTTTCTGTCTGTCCAGCCGAGGTCTGATCAGCAAGACAGCCAAAGGCACTCTCTCCCGCCCACGAGACGGTTGTCTCTTTTATAGTGAAAACTACGTATAAGATATTTACCTTTAACTTCCAATACTTTTCGCCCTTGTTGGCAAGTGCACTTTCCCTATGAACCAATCCACACATGCCAACATCATCCTGAACATGGATGCCAAGGAGAAGAAAGAAGAAGGACAGGGCACGCCGAAATCCCTCAATCTTAGAACCCCTGACCCCCATGTACAGAATTTCAAAACCCCCCTGTACAACATATAAAACCCCCCTGTACAGTGCATTATAATTCAAGTTTTATCAAGTGAATATCTTCCCCTCACCATTCAGGCCTGAAATTCTCTCATTTCCTCACATTCAGGTGTCTTTGGCTTCCTGCCAGGGTTTCTGAGCCCGTGCCAGGGCTCTGAGACATCCAGGGCATCCAGAGAGATGCTCTGGGTTCCGACATTCCCCCTCTGATGGTGTTGACATCTGTGTTATGAGAAGGTTCCTGCTTGGGGCCTCCCTGCCTGGCATTAAAACTTTCCCATCATGTTTCATTGGTGAGGTGCCAAGGAGTGTTTGGTTGAGCTGACTGTACTTCCTGGATTTAGTTCAGCTTTCTATGGTTGTTTCCAGATGGCTTTTGCTTTGTCCCATCCCGACTGGACACCTGGAGGCAGGTGATGTCCCATCACCTCGCTGCTGGCCATCACAAGCTGGGCTGGGAGGCTGCAAATGGCCTGCAGGGCCATTGGCTACAGGGTAAGGGGCAGCACAGGTCACTTTCAGTCTTCCTGATAAATTCAGCCTTGAGGATAGGAGGAGATGAGGGAGTTCTGCAGGGCCAGGGAGGTTTGTGCTGCTATTCCAGTACCACCTTCTTGGACCGCCTAACCAGTACAGCTCACTCCAGAACCTCCCTATGAGAATGTTTTTTACTGCATTCCACTTGCATGCAGAGGATGTGGAGGGAAACGGTTTAAGTTCCAATAAGAGTGGCCCTAAGGTTACAGCGTGAGTCTGGGTGAACTTATGTGACAGCCCCATATACTTGCTTGGTGACTGTGGCTGTTTACCCTTTTTTTTTTCTTTTCGTTCCACTCCCCCCATTCCCCCTTCAAGAAAGGGAGATCACGTGCATTCACCTCACTGGACAGAGAGTGGCCAAACAAAATTCAAGGCTGGAGATGGAGATGTATGCAATCCTTAGAACTGGAAATGAAGCATGAAGAATGCTTCTGTGGACAGGTGTTATGTGGCCACAACTTGTGAGTGTGAATTCCATATGCCCAGTCTAAGAAGATAAACTCCACAGCCCCACTTCTGAAAACAGGCCACTGGGGTCTGACCAAGACTTGGATCTGGCCCATATTTGAAGTCAAGATATGGTGCTGTGGCAAACAACTGCAGTATCTGGTTCTGATCTCCAACATAGCCTTGAGACTTATTACTCAGATCGAAAAGAGGAAGGAAACAAAGGTGAACTGTTCCCAGTAGTGGCTCTGAGGTAACTGCATCTGAATGTGGCCTCTCTTGGCTTTGATTTGGTAATTTGTTAAGTGGGGAAAATACATAAATAAAACATATCTTTGCTCTTCTGAAGAAAATCCTCTGTTAATGCTACATGTAAAGAGGCAGACTGGGGCTTCTTGTCTCTTTGAAGATTCTCTGGATCATGTTCTTCCTTCTCTTATTCCTTCCCTTACACCTGAGGGATTTTGGTAACCTATCGTTACACTAGAGTGAGCACATGACTTTCCCTTCACAATTTGCATTGAGTTTGAGCTCCCTCAGCTCAGGTAACTTTGGGACATGATCTTTTCTGCTTGAAACTCTCAGCACTTACTAAAATTTGGTAGGGGTGTGGCCAGGGGAGAAATACACAAACTGTTTTAGGAAGGAACATTTCTTTTTATCACTCCTACTTTTTTTTTGTTCCCCTGTGTTGTGCATGGTACTGTAACTATAGCGTTGTCTTTCTGCTGACTCAGGCCTGCCTGTGGTGAGGTGCTGCCACCTGCCAGAAACTTGTGCGGCTTTACAGTGCTACCTTCTGTTTAATCCATCCCACTCATTGCCCTCACTCCCCTTTCCCACTGTCCATTCAGTACTTCCCTGTTTCCTCTTCACCACTGGATGCTCAAATGTCTTTTCCCTGTGCTTTCACAGCTCCATAGAAGCCTTTTTTTAAAAACTTGGTCTCTTAGCAACCTGTATGGAACCCTGGTTCATCTTCTATCATTAGAGGGGTTGACTGCCTTCCGGAGGAAGTCTCTTCTCCCTGCAGCTCTGCCCAGTGTCAGCCTTGGCTGAGAAGGACATAGGGTGCCTTTCTCTCAGATCCCAGGAGGCTGCTGTGCTCCCACACTGTCCCCTGGAGCAGTGTGAACTGCAGCATCCTATCCCTCCCCTCCCTTCCCTAACCAGTTCCATGCAGCAGGGTACACAATGGGATCACCTATTGCTAGACTCTCTCTAACCAGCCAAATCCCTCAGGAGCTCTCAAGGAACTCTTGCTGCCTGAATCTCTTTGATCTGTTATCTGACATCCCTTATTAACTGTTCAGTGTCAGGCCCTGGGTCCCCATTCTCCATGTTCCAGTGCCTTTTTATGCTCTTCCCTTGGCTGCTCTGCTCCATAGCCTTAATCCCCGAAAAAGAGCAAGGTGGTGTGGAAAGACCAAGAAAGTGGCATATATTCACTTCCACTTCTGATGCTCTTCTCACCTAGGTGCAGGGATATAAAGCCTGGATTTGGTTTAGGCTTTTATCTAAATGTCTTGGAAGTCTGTGCTATCTACAAGTGCCATAAGAGTAGGTGATGCCAGGACTGTAGGCAAAGACCCACAACAGGCAGGATTTCTTTACAAGAGTTATAGTGACTCTCCCCAAAGTCCATCATTCTTATACACATGTCCATCCATTAATTCTTTTGTTATATTAACTTGACTACTAGAGGTGCCAAACCTTTAACTTCCTAAATCTCCCTGAGACTTCTCCCCTTCTCCTTCTTTATGTTCCCTGCCAGTCTGGGATTTGCTGATTAAAAGATAGTTTAAAGCAAAAGGTGACCCACTGATATTAGCAACTGTTTCACCTTTGAATTTCCTGAGAATCCCTGGGACCATCTTGCCCCAACTGCTAGTTCCATACATTTTGCACAATCAATATTTTATTTTGGACAGATCCTTTGGTTTAGTCCTCCACAAACCAGGGTTCTTGTGTGTGAATTCCACCAATTTATTCCACTGTGACAAATAATTAATTAATCTTTGTTTTGATGTGCTTTTTCTCTCTGACTGCTTATTTTATACCCTGCTCTTCAGTTGCCCTCAAGGCAGTATATCAAATATAAAGGGTTCAAGGAAGTTCTGACACCTTTGCTTTGTTATGGTTCTGCATTTATTGGAGGTCATGCTTGTTTCAATTTTCCTCATTCGGCTGCAAGGTCAGCTTCCTGAAAAATGCATATTGATAATCCCTTTAGGAAATTATTTTAGTCATGTCAGCTTCATTTTGCCTTTTCTCAAATCTTCTAAAGAGGGTTTAGGTATTTGGGTGACCAATGTGATGTCCCTGTGGAACCTTCATGTCACTTGTGATGACTCACAGCCTTCAGCTGAATTCTCTCAGTTGTCCCTCTGAATTCAAACTGGCTTGTAAGAAGTGTGTAATTTCCCTAAAGCTTCCACCACAGCTGTGGTCAATTTAAAAATGGGATTTCTTTTACAATGTGTGGGATCACAGCTTTAGGAATCCAGTCCTACTCTTTGCCTATAAATTTGAATTTAGCTCCTCAGGTTCAGCTGGATTTTCAAAAGAAGTAAGGCATGTGCAATGGCCAGTTTCATCTGCTCACATGGATTTGCTTGCTAAATTGGGTGATGCTGGCTGTGGGCTGAAAGGCTTGCAGATACCACCTTATTCAAACCTCACTGACAGGTAGGGGAGAAAGAGCTTTAGTGCCTCTGCTGCCTTCTCTTTAGGTCAAAGGGTGGCCATGGAGCTTGCAGAGCAACCAGCAGCTGGAGCATGAGTAAGGAGGGAAAGCAGAACTGTGAGTCCCAGAAAGGAGCTGGGGCTTGTGAGGCATGTGGGGGCTGAGAGCATGGGAGGCACTTGACAGTGTGAGGTAGGGCTGTGGGGAAACACAGGTATTTGTGGGAGGACAAGGGAATGAGCAGAAACAGGAAGAGGGGGAATGAAGTTACTGAGGAAGAGCAATGAGAATGCAAGGAAGCAAAGCATGAGTTTTGGGGGTTTTTAAGCAAGATTTTTGTTAAAAATTATTTTTTCAGCACCACAACTGCAGGGTCCAGTTGTTTCTATCTCTCACTCATTCACATACCACCAGCGTGTATGAAATTAAAAGGACAAATTTTTTCCTCAGGAATATCACGTGATTGTTGTTACACATTGGCTCAGCACTGCATGCTGTGGAAGTATGATTCAGTGTTGAATTTTGATAACAAGCAACAACTCTGATGGCTGACAAAGAAGAATTGAGCTGTCTACTGATGTTTCAGTGCAGTGTAATCTAATAAAAGGAGCAGCTAGAGCCTGAATTTGCATTTGAAATGCCTCAGCTGTGTTTGGAGATGTGTTTCAGTGGAAAAAGCTCATGAAGCTGCTCTGTAACGTCCTTCTCTGTCTGCTGATTGTGTTTCCTGTTTCTTCACTGTGGAAATCTTGAAACCCTGCAAGGAAGTAAGTCTTTTTCCCATAAGACTGGGTCTGCTGAGGCTTGGGTGGGGACAAGGGGAAGCATGCAGAGGGTTGCTCTGAGTTCTCAACTTCAATTCTCTGGAATTTGAGGGCTTAACTAGATTTCAGCAGAGACTTAGGGAGGCTTAATTCCAGTGAGAGGGCCAAGACTGAAGACAAAGGGTAGTGCTGGAAGGATGTTGGAAAGAGAAGCAGGCAGCATGCTTGCTTGAGGGACGAAGTTTCTCTTCTGTAGCTGTTCTTATTCTTGTGTGAAAGTCACCTTCTTTGTACACAATACATAAAGGAGAAGTAAAGTTAGCTCAGGACATACAAGACACAAAGAAGATCCTTGGTAAAGACATCCAGTTACTGCCTCACTCTGCTTAGGGGCAGGTCTCCATAAAGTGTGTTCAGATTACCTTCTGCCACATTGTTGTTCTCTATTGTCTGGTGCATGTTCTTCCTTCTACTGCCCTATCTCAGCTCCAACTCTGCTCTGGTTACCCTCTGTGCTCTCTGGATGTCCTGTGAGCATCTCATTCTGCTCTGCCTTAAGGGAATTCCAGCTAGCCATACTAACCAGCTTCTTCCCACTGTTTGTTTTGGAGACCTTGTTGTGGCTTTTTTCAGGCTTTTACAGGGGACTTATAAGAAAGATGGAGAGAGTCCTTTTAATGGAACTGGTAGTGATAAGATAAGGGGTCATGGAGTTAAACTGAAAAAGACAGATCTAGATTAGCTATAAGGAAGAAATAATTTACCATGAGGGTGCTGAGATGCTGAAACAGATTGCCCAGAGAAGTTGGAGATTCCCCTTAACTGAAAATGTTTAGGGCCAGGTTAGAAGGGGCTTTGAGCAGCCTGATGTAGTGAAAGATGTCCTCGCCCATGGCAGGTGGTCTGGAGAAGATAGTCGTTGAAGGTCCCTTCCAACCCAAACCTTAGTGCTATCTGCTGACTGAACCCTCCTCACCCTGCCTGACTTATTGGCATCTGTTCCCAGAAGTATTTCTGATTTAGAATGTCTCTCAGCAGCCATTTCCCTTGTCTCCTTTCACGATCTGCTCCAGCTTGAAATCAGACTAAGCACTGACATTTTGCTCAAGGTGATATCAGAGGTTTTTACCACAAAGCAGATAAGGGAGATAAATGACAGTGTTGGAAAAATAGGAGAAAAATGTAAACCATCCCTTTTCAGCCTCTGAAATGGAGCCTGCACTGCTCTGAACTTCCACAGGCTGTGAATCAGGTTTTAATAGAAAAGTTTTTGTGTCTACTCTTCCCAATAATCTCTCAGACCATCAACATATGTTTTTTAAAATTCCACTTTGCTTGTTCTCCTCTCTGACTCCCACCTGATCTTTCTGTTTCATCATGGATATACCAATCTTCTGATTATTTTTATTGCACTGTCTAAGGCTGCAACTCCCCAGTCTCACTTCTACAGGAACATTTCCTAGTCTGAGATTTGTTCTAGTGCCAGCTTCCAGCCAAGGCTGACTTTGAAGAATGAGACATAGCTGTGACATTTGATGTAGCAAATGCAGCTTAACCACAAGGGGAAATAGGGCAGAATGCATTTTGTTCTGGACTGCAGGTTAAACTGGGCTAGAACCTATGATAGATGCAAACGTGAGAGCAATGGTAGAATTACTAGCAGACAAAGAAACACATGAAAATATGGGGAGATAGTTAAGAAAGAAAGTTAAAAAGAGGAAAAAACCCTATAAATGTCTTGAAAAGGAAGCCTATCAGCTAAGAATCTGATATGGGGAAGGAGTGCAACTTCCTTTTCAGTTGTTAGGTTCTCATTTTTCTTTTATGTCTCAAAATCTTCCATGGTGCCAGGGCTGATTTCCTGGGCTAAGAAACTGAAGATCTCTTTGGAGCATTTCTGAGCTCTCAGGAATTCTCAGATTATCACCAGTTCTTCCAGTGTTCAGCACAGTCTTCTTTGATGGGTAGAGGGTGAATGAATGGATGGGAAAGGCTCAGTAACCGATTCCTGTCACCCTCTGGAAAAAAGGAGCTAAAAGGCCCACCTTTTATGTGGCAAAACTAAGGACAGGGTCACACTGCGATTAAATGGCATCAGAAATCACCTATGCTGAGGTGAAGTTCAAAAATGACTCGTCGGCTCCAGTGGTCAAAGGTAAGGAATGAATGGGATATTTGGGAGAAAGGGAGCTGGGGGGAGCAGGGCTGAAGAAGAGGGAATGAAGATTTTTCCTTGTGTGACTTTGGTTCCTACCTGATCTTGGATTGGTGAGAAAAACGAGCTAAATGATCAGGAGACTGAAGGACTTTTGAAATAAGAGTTTTGAGGAACATCTCCAAGAGGAAAGGCGAATGGGAGTTACAACATGAACGACTACCGGGAGCACAGACAGTAGGTTTCAAATGAGCATTCATTAAAGAGCCTGTTTGTGCTCCCTCAGTACCCTACATGTTATGTGGTCTTGAAAGAGTAATTTGTTGGACCATGCTGAGTACCAGCAGTAGAGACTGTGGTTTATTAAAAACAATCTGATCTGTCACAAAGGTGGAAGGGCTCCCAAGCAGCAAATAAGCCCAAGTCCTGGCTGCTCTTGCCTCTGAGTGAGACTACAGATTGGTGCTTGTGGAGAGGGTAGGAGAATCAACATGCCTGCTTATAGAAGAGAAGTCAGTTGTACTCTGCACCTTCATGAGAAGTGGTACTGGCTGCAGAAACATAGCCCCACTGTCCATGGCTGATTGAGAAATGGTCCTTGAAGAAGAGAAACCCAAAACTTAAATACAGAAGAAGAATTATTTAAGATCTGGAGGGAGATCCAAATCTGTTATAGAAGTCTGCCACTCCTGAAAAACATTTAACATACCAAACAAACAATTTTTTTTTCCATTAAAGTCTAGTCTTTTACTAGACTTCGTGCAAATTTAAGGCATATTCTGGTTAATATGTACTCTGTAGTCATTATTCCACAAGTAGAAACCCATAGAGATGTTCTATGTAAGGCTGCTTTTGCCTGACATGCAGGACCCTACACAACAGCAGGTTCCAGAGTAGAAAATGTATGTGTACATAAATCAATAAAAAATATTTTTAATTAAATAAATAATTACTGCTGTCTAAGTATATATAATAGCTTGCCTATTTACAGCTTTATCTTAGTTTTACAATCCCAAACAGAGCAGGCATCAGCTCCAGGTTATTCCTGGCTTTCTCTGAGGCATGAGTCATGGAAATAAATAGTGTACATAGTCCTGTCTATCTTGAAAGATCACTGTTTTCAGTGCACCAAGATTAGTTGGTTCTGGATGTAGTTAGCATTTCCACAGTGGTGAGGTGGGGGTGGTGGAAGTTCCCCATTGTGTTCCAAATGATTATTCCAAAGGCATCAAGACTGTTGTGTTGTGATCATGCTGGACATGTTACAGAGCGCAGATCAGCTGTGGAAAGCATTTTGCAGGGAGTTCAACCCATCAAGTGTGCACGAGATTACTGCACTTCAGTTGTGTTGCTGAGGTGCACAGCATGCGGTGCTCCCTGTGCCACCCGGGTCTGACTGCGCACAGGTTGAACAATCTCTGGATGTGCTGCATATCAAAAAAATCAGTTGGATTGGTTAGAGCTATTTCTGAAGTAGGTGGTTCAACTCCACCTCTTGAGGAGGCTCCTTGTTTTCACTAAGGCAAAAGCTGGCTAGAAAAACATTATTTGACTGGAGAAACCTGGACCTTCTCTGTCCACACATATTTTCTCTCCACATAATGAAAGATCATACCTTTTCCCCTGCAGTAGCAGTCTCTCCCAAGCCTTTGGGAAGTAGTCAGAAGGCTTCCACAAAGAGCAGGTTTCTTACAGTCTTGCTTACTAGGCATGTCTGGCAGGCACACTTGACTGCTGACGGACCTGGGAGCTTCATACAGAACAATGAATGAAGGCTCTCTAAATCTTATCTTTAATAGTAGTCTCTCCCAAAGTTTCTTTATTTCTGCCCTGCACTGAGTGCTGTTGTCTCTTTACCCTCCTATTTGCCCTGGCTTGTGTACCTGCCACAAGCTAGAACAATCCCCTAATGCATGTTTGCTTCTCCTTCCCTGTGACCCACTCTCCTGCCTGCTCCCAAGCCTCCTCAGTACTGGCAGTATCCCTCTAGACAAAAGCGAGGTCCTGGAAAATCTTTATCTGAGTACTTTACTCAGGCTTCTGGACACAGCCTTCTGCTCTCCCCAAATATCCAGCCTAGCACAACCTAGTTTTATTACAGCAAATCTTTGAATCCTGACTTGGAAAGCAGAGATGGAAGGGAAAATATGTCTTTCAATCTCCCAGTGATGATGTGCGATCACAGCTTTACACAATCCTCACTCAGATTACACCAATCTTCTGCACAGGAAGTTCAAAAAGCTAAAGGAATTGAAGAAGACAGGAAAAGTTTTCTGGGAAGAAGTCAACATGAAATCTTCCCTTATGTCTTAAGTATCGCGGTTTGAGCAATGTTGCATTTAGCAGCTTTGGGCTCAATCTAGAAAGACATTGTTTCACTGTAGTTTTTGAGGCCCTGTGAAGGGCTCACCTCCAAACACCAACAGTTATCATTGTTGGCTCACTGGCTGGGCTGGGAACACACTTACTGAATTTGACTTTTCTCCAGAAACCACAGACATTCCCTACTCTGTCCCAGTCTGTTCTCCTAAACCTTGTAACTTCCATGTCAGAAATGAATTTTTTTTTTCTTTTGAGGAGCTCTCCCTTGAGTATCCTTGGTATGTGGACTGTGGACTGACAGACCCATAGTTGACTGTAGTGTTTTGTTTGTTGTGTTTCTGTCACTTTTAGGACCCCCTGAGACAAAGAAGCCTGAGCAACATCCCCAGAAGTACCCACTCTGGCTGCCATGGTTGATCTCACTGCTGCTTCTCTTGGTGTGCATTGCCCTTGTTGTCGTCCTCCTTGGTGAGTATGTGCAAGGAGATTACAAGGGAGAGGTCTGGGAGAAAAGTAGAGAAACCATGCTTCATGGTTGTCTGGGTTTTGTGTAAGGTCTCAGTTTTTCCTGCCCTGACTTTGTATATGCCTGCATACATCCCCCAAATCTTCCACTGTTTACCCTGAGGCCTCGTCAGTGTGCCCAGATTGTACATTCCAATCTTGCATGGTCTTTTTGGAACTGTGGAACAATTCTCTACCCTCATTCCCCACAAAAAGAACTCAGTTACATTTGACAGATGGGAAAAAGTGGAGACAGAGGCACAAGTGTCTATACAAGCAGCTGAATCTGCACTTAGGCTCTCTAAGGTACTTGGATATGCTTTGTGTCCTAGTGGAAAAAAATGGTTTCTCACAGTCCTGGCATCTCCAGGATTACCTGCATTGTGCAGTTAATTAACTCTCACAGCTTTTTAGGGTTGATTGCAGAATAGTTCATTAGAGGTTATTCCTGGACAATCTGTTTGTAAAGATTGTGATCACTATTTCATTCTCATTTTCTATTAAAGATAATTCATGACATATTTGCACAAATTGCCAATAAGCACAATGGATTCTGGAAGAGGCATCTCATTACAATAAATCACTGCTTTTCCTTAGGCTGCCCTTAGCATCTGAGTCCCAGACATTTGTATTGCTTTGTTCCCAAATGTATAACCTTTCATGGTACTCAGGCGAATGGTTGGGGAGTTTTAGGCTGGGATGTTAGCATCTGATACCTTCTGATACACGTGAAAGGTTTAATTTTTAGTGAAATTTTACTTATCCAAGTTAATTTATGCTACCCAGGATTTTGGTTTAGCATAGCAATACAACATTTAAAGGAAACACCAATACAAATTGCATGCAGCTGAGAGCGGCCACTGCAATGCACAGGTGGATCACAATACAAACATGATTTTAATTGCTGGTCATACAAACATGGAATGATAGAATCATTAATGTTGGAAAAGACAGGTCATGTTGTTAAACTGCTAACCAACCACTGCCAAGCCCATCACTAAACCATGTATCCAGGTGCCACATCTACTTGTCTTTTGAGCACTACCGGAAATGGTGACTCCAACACTTCTCTGGGCAGCCTGTTCCAATGCTTGGCCACCTTTTAGTGAAGAAGGTTTTACTAATATCCAATCTAAATCTTTCCTGGCACAACTTCAGACCATTTCCTCTTGTCCTGCTAGTTGTTACCTGGGAGAAGAGTCTGACCCCCACCTGGCTACAACCTCCTTTCAGGGAGTTGTAGAGAGCTATAAGGTCACTCATGAGCATCCTTTTCTTCAGGATAAACAGCACCAACTCCTTTAGCTGCTCTTCATAGGACTTGTGCTCCAGACCCATTCCCAGCTCCACTGCCCTTCTCTGGACATGCTCCAACACTTCAATATCCTTCTCATTATGAGGGGTCCAAACAAGACATAGTTCTGCAGTATGCTTCACATCAAGACATTGAATGTCCCCAAATACCAAGACAAAATAGGGAAGTTAAAGCCAGCTCAGGCCCGTTGCTTTCTTCAGGTATGTTTTTGTTAGTCATTCAGTTCCTCATGCCATTTTGTACTAAGGTACCCACTTGTGCTGTGCTGGTTTGGCTAACTAGGAAAACATTGCCCTCTTTTTGATCTCTAAGGGAATGAACGCTTCTACAGCTGGTCAATTCCCTCAGCTGAACAAAACTAAAAGCCAAATCTCATAATCCTTTTACTTCGGGTAGAGATAGGGTCACACTTATTGGCAATGGGGGTGGTCAGCCAGGCTTTGCCCTTGCCCAGCTCCTCTGAGCTTCCTCCATTACAGCCATTCACTAATCAGGCACTAGAACCACTAGTATTTTCTGCTCATAAATGAAAAAAGTTCTAATTTAAATGATTGATGAACATAGGCATCTGGATGGTTAAGCACACCCTCATCAGCTCCTAATCCATACTCCTGAATGTCTGAGTCACTTTAAAATCCTTGGGATTGTGGCTGTGGCCTGTCAGCAAGAGTGCCTTCTTGCCCACAAGCTGGAGCTAGTAAGTCCTAGGGCTTTCTGCTGCACCCTGGTTTCAGCAGCTCCATCTGTAAGTGGTTCCCTTCACCTGGGCTGTGTGTTGCTGATGGAACAGGCCCAGCTGAGGGTGACTCCTCCTGTGCCTGTTGCTGTGCAGTTGAGGAAGGGACAAAGGGTGACAATGAGAGGCTGCTTTGTAGACTGGCAGCTGGGCTGTGGGTCTGTGCATGGCAGCTGGGCTACGGTTGGGAGGGCTCACTCCTGCCGTGGGTGTGGGGTGTCCCCAGTGGGATGTGCTTCCAGGGGTCCCTCTGCTGTCTGACCTGGCAGACGGTCTCTTTCTGGCTGGGAAGGCAGCTGTGCCACTGGTGTGGGCCAGGAGAGGTGACAGCTGGGACAATGCTTGCTGGGGAGATGGTGGAAGGAGAGTCAAGGGGCCAGAGATGCTGTGTGAGGAGCTGGGAGCAAGGGCTAATCCTGCTGCCTTTGCTCTCCCTTTGCAGTGCTTCCCTTGTGCCACAGCAGTGCCCAGCCCTCAGCCCTGCAGCAGCAGTTCTTGCAGTGGGAGTGCAACTCAGCGGTGCCACAAGGCACAGGTCAGTGCTCGAATGGCCCCTCTTCCTTGGGGCTAAGGGCCTCAAGGAGGCTGTAGCAGGGCAAGTCAAAGCCCATCCCCAAGAGAACTTTGCAGAGACCTGAGATCCCCTTACTGGGATTACCATGGGTTTGGGTACACAAAGCTCACTGGTCATACCCCAAAGCAATGGGAAGAAATGTCTGTACTCTCCCTGTTTATTCAATCCATTTCTCTCAGGAAAAGTCACTGAGCAGGACATGAGCACTGTCCCTGGAAAACCAGGATCTCTGCACTCACCATCTCTTGTTAGTAGCCTTCATCTCTCTGTCCTCTCCCTGCACAGACCGAGGCTGGACGTGCTGCCCAAAGGGCTGGAGAAGGTTTCAAGGAAGCTGCTATTTCCTATCCACTGATAAGTTGAATTGTGTTAAGAGTGCACAGAACTGCAGTGGGATGGGCTCCCAGCTGGTGGTGATCAGCAGCAAGGTAGAGCAGGTGAGTGCACAGGGCTGAGAGAGGGACCCAGCAGGCAGAGGCACAGTGCTGGGCCCTGGAGGGGACTCAGAGCCCCTCCTTGTCCTGCAGGGGAGGGGGAAGGTCCTGTCTGCACCTCTGCAGCACCAGCCCCCTCTGCCACCAGCCCCATCCCATGTGGACTCCTGATGCCTCTCTGTGCTCAGTTCTGCCTCTCATGGACATTGCACTTTCTCTCTGATTGCCAGGATTTCCTCTCTGAGCAAACAAAACAAACTCCAAACAGAGTGAATTTCTACATTGGTCTGTTTGAAGATAAGGTGGGCCAGTGGCAGTGGGTGGACAAGACTCCATACAATGTGACAGCAGCGTGAGTATTTCTGGCTGAGGAGTGTTTGATGTGACTCCTGGTAGCGAAAAAAAGTATGTAAGATGCAGGTGCATGAGAGGGGGTTGTCACTCTGCTTCCTTGTGGGAGATCAGAGATAAAGCAGGAGAGGGTTGTGTAGGACACCAGTTCACCTGGCTCCATCTGTGCTGGATATTTATTATGAAATAACTACCTGTGACATCGAAATCATTGATGTAGGTGTAGAAAAAGCTGCATCTTGCCATCAGCAAGCGCCCTTAATATATAACTTGCCTGGCCTGGCCTGCACTGCACTTATATGCACAAAATGGCCTCTACTGAAATGCAGGGAAAGAGATGGGGCACAGGGCGAGAGAGCACCAGGACTTTCCTTGCTGTGCCTTCTTCTGGAGAACAAACTTGCCCTGGAGGCCAGCACTGGCCTCTGCAGGGAGTGAGGTGTGTGGGGTGAGTGGTGGTGATAAGTTCCCCCTAGCAGGATGGAGCAGGGCCCTGTTGTGCTGGAAGGCTGTGGGAAGGAGGCAGGTTTCCATGTGACACTGGTGCCAGTGGGATATGGAGTGGGAGGAAGGGCACTGCTTCAGTCCACGAATCAGCATTGGGAATTTCTGTCTGTTCCCTTCAATTCTTGCATCCTGCTGTGGCCTTTTCCAGCAGTGTTTTTACAGTGGTCCCTGGGGAGTAACAAGCCTGTCTGTGTCCCAGGTTCTGGCGAGAAGGAGAACCAAGTCCAGGCCATGATGAGAACTGCACTGTAATCTATGTGTCTGAACCAACTCTCAACAACTGGAATGACGTCAAACCAAATACACAACATCATCGAATTTGTGAAGCTGCAGCAGTAATTGTGTGATGGAAATACCCCTGTCCTGACTAAAGCTGGGAGCTGAGTGGGGAGCTGGGAGCATTGCTGGGAGGGCTCAGGAGCTCTGAGACATCTTCACTGTGTGGGGTGGGACCATGTGCTTGTGGAAGTGAAATGAGCTTTGTCCAGCATCCCCAGTGCATGTGGTGGCTCAGGGAACACAGGGAGGCTCAGGCTCTTTGAAGCAGCTCCTGTGTTCTTGTGTCCTCTTCTCTGAGTGGGTCCAGGAGACTCTGGCTGAAAGGAGATGGACTTCTCCAGAAGGAAGACACTGGAATGGAAGGCAGATATCCAGAGATTCAATATTTTTTTTGTCCTTGAGCAGAGCTGTTTGCTTTTTGTTGAGTGACGCGCCAAATGTCCTCTAGCTGTACTGGTTGTGCTGAACAAATTCTGAAATCTTAGACCAGATAAAATACAATATCAGACCAATGAAGAAATTTTCTGGACACTGTTTCTGTACCTCTTTTTTCCCCCATATCTTAGCTGGAAAGCTAAATACCTAGAATCACAGAATGGTTTGGGTTGTAGGGAAGCTTTAAGAATCAAGTGTCCAACCTCTAGGTCTTGAGCAGGGATCCCTTCCACTGGACCAGTCTGCTCAAAGCCCCATTCAGCCAGGCCTTCAATGCTTCCAGGGATGGGCTATGCACAGCTTCTCTGGGAAACCTGTGCCAGTGCCTCACAAACCTTACAGAAAATAATTTCTTCCTAATACCTACTCTACACCTGCCCTCCTTCAGTTTAAAGCCATTCCCCTTGGCCTTATGCACTAAATGCCCTTGTAAAAAATTCCTCTCCAGCCCTCTTGGAATCCTCCTGGAAGGCTGCTATAAGACCATCTTGGAATCTCCTCTTTCCCATGCTGAACAATGCCAATTCTTTTAGTTTGTGCTCCAGCCCTCTTTCTCTATCCTCATTGCCTTCATCTTTGTGGCCCTTCCCTTGGACTTGCTGCCACGGGAGAAACCATCCACACTGGACCTTCAGATCCACCTGGAGGAAAAAGTCCTCATCCTGACTCAGAGCTGACCCCAGGCAGAAGGCCTGAGGCAGCAGCAGCAGCCCTGGAAAGCCAAATCCTCAGTGGTGCCTGGAACAGCATGCCTGCCCAGGCCAGACCGTGCTGCAGAGGAGGCTGACGAGACAGGGCTCCTGCTGCACGTGACATCCCATCCAGAACATCAGTGCCTATTGCACTGCCTTCATGTCCTGCTGTAGACCACTGGACACCATGGATCTTCCTTTGCTCCATCTCTTCCCACTTCCTGCCTCCTGTGTCCTCACTTCTCTTTCCTCAGGAAACACCAAGTGACCAAGCCACCCTGAGGGAACAGTGCCAGCTCTCCACAGGGAATGCAATTGGGTGTACAGCTCCTGTCTGTGAGCCTCTGTCCTACCTATGGAAGTGAATCCTCCCTCTGTGTCCCAGAGAGAGAGAGGAGAATTCGTTCTGGAGACAAGGTGCCCAGGAGATTGGGCTTCCTAATCCAGGGGGAGCAGTTTATGAACAGCAGTGCAGGTGCTGCAGGTGGCTGCAGGTCCACATGCACAGCTCGAGGCAGCAGGGAGACACAGCATGGAGGGACACTAGGTTCTACATATCTAGGGACAAATGGAAGAAAGAGGACATGTACATGCAAAAAAACCACACAAATCAGCACAGCAGTAAGCGCTGATCCCAACTCACAGAACTGCCTGTTGCTGTTTCCCTATAGCAGGATGAAATCCTTCTGGCAGAGAATTGTCTGCTTACACCTGTACAATGTGGCCCTGTGAGTGAGGGCCTCTCCATCTACACCTAGAAACCACACCCTGCAGTGCACAGCTTCTCGCAGCACCAGCCTGGGCTGCTGGGCTTGCCACTGGTGGGAAAGGCCTGCTTTGTCTGGGGTCTTGAGCACCATTGCCACACGTTTCTGGCTTTTGCCATGCAGGATCCCTGTTAGGCTTCCCCTGTGCCATCACTCTTAGCACACAAGCAGGACAAGGAGCACATTTCCTGCCTTCCCTCCTCCTCCACACAAGAGGCAGCCCAGCACAGGAGGCTGAGGCCTGCTGTGCTGCAGCCAGCTGAAGGTGCACAGTCCCTGAAGGACAGAGCTGACCAGCAGGTTCCTCTGCTGGCTGTCCACTCCTGGGGTCAGCCTGCGGTGAGCAGCAGCTCCTGCCGGGTCTGGACACAGCCCCCTCCCCTTGGCTGTAGGAAGAAGGCAGGATTCCATGCAGGATTGCTGTGCCTAGGAACAGGGCAGGAGGAGAACAAGGGTGATTGGGATGGGAGCTTGGGATGAATCAGGATGTGGAAGAGTCTGTCTCCATGTCCCTCTGAGCCCTGAGACCCCAGGCCCTGGAGCTCATCATTCCCTGGAAAGATTGACAACATCCTGAATCCCAGCATGTCAGAATCACTGCAGACAAAGTAGATCTCAGCCTTTACAAGTCCAACAATTCAGCCTCATTGGTGAGAGTGAGATGCAACAGAGTGCCTCTCATCTTTGGATCCTCCATAATCTGTCTCAGAAAGCTCCCTGAAAAGGAACCTCCAGTGTCCTCCTGGATTGTTTGCACTTTACTGCTGAAAACAAAGCTCAGAAACCACAGCACAAGCTGCAGAGCCTCACAGCTGCCCCTGTGAGCTGTCCTCACACACTGCTGGGGCTCAGGGCTGTGCAACTGGATTTCAGGCTGTGAGAGGGCAAAGCAACCAGGCACAGTGGGAGCACCTTTCTCTGGGATTAATTCTCTCTTCCTGTACAGTCCCTGCTGCTAGCACTGCTCCTGTGCTTTCTGCCTTTCTCTTGGTTAGCATTTCCTTCCAGGCTACTTACCCATATGTCATTGCTGCAGATAAATCTTTGCCTTCAAATAATTTGGAATTCAAGAAAACTGGATAGCAGGACTGCTCAGGGGATTCAGGTTGACGGAGAAAGAGAGAATGTCCTCCACCAAGTGCATTTCTGAACAGGAGCACACTTGCTGTTGTTTGTATTTGGAACCCTCTCCAGCCTTACCCATCCCATTTCATGTTGCTCAGATGGTCTGGACAGCAGCAAGTGATAAAGACAGGAGTGTGAATGCAAACAGCTTTGTGAATTCAATAGCTGCAACCAGGTGAGGGGGCATTTGCCCCAGACTGCTGCTGTTAAAGAAGAACATGACCACCAGCTTAACAGTAACCAGGGCATTAGGGAAAGGCTTCTGAGGCACCAAAGAAGAAACCGTCTGAAAAGAAAGTTTAGATGAAGCAAGAACAACTTGAGAGAGGAGAGCGGAGTGGGAAGGAAGCGCCATCGAGCCCAGGGTGCTCTGCAGCTTGGCCACCTCTGTCCGTAAGAAGCTCCCTGGCAGCTGAGTGCCGTGGGTGACCTCGCTGGTGGCACTGAGGAGTACAGCAGGCACAGACCCACATTCTGCAGTGTGACAACGTCACCCTGTGCTTTCACCTGTAGTTCATAGGCTGCTGGAAGAGCTGTGGATACTCACGAGCCCTCCATCTGCAGCAGGAAGTGTGTGGGACCAGGGGAAGCCCTGCTTCCACAAAGGGGATGTGTTCTTGCAGCTGCACTTCCTGCATGGCTGGTGGGAGGCTGGAGGTTCCACAAGTCTTGTGAATGTGTTTTTATGAGGGGTGAGAGCTTGTGAACGCTGGTTACATAAAGCTGTTTAGAAATGTAGGCTCTGACCCTGCCTGCAGCCTGTTGTGCACAAAGTAACAGAATCAGAGGATGTCTTCCACAGAGAGCTCAGGCTTGTCCTCCCTTGTAAGCAGCTCTGTGCCCTGATCTTCTGATGCTTCAGCTAAAGTGCCTGGGCTGTTGCTATGAGCTCTCTTATTCCTGCGTCTCTGCACCCATGCATTCCTCTCCACACGGAGAAACCAGCTGATGGAACATCTCAGCCTGTTCCATGTATGTCTGCAGCATTTGCCATCACAAATGAGAAGCGAGACTTCATGATTTGTCATGCACACGGACTCTGGCACTGCCAAGTGATCCTTCTGCCCCACCAGGCCAGCTCATATTGAACCCCTTTGCTCAAAGCCCCAGCCTCCCTTCCAATGCAACTAGATCAAAACAGTGTTGGCAAGTTCTCTGTTGTGCTCAGGATGCACATGGGCACTGCCCAGACTCAGTCACAGATATGCTTTCCTCTCATTTCTGGCTCCCTTTTGCAGGCTATGCTCTGTGAGTTTAACTCTTTGCAAGCAAATGCCAAATATACCTGCCTGTGTATGTATTTTCACACACATGGACCCTCAGCAGGAGAGAGCAGGCAGCAGAGAGGGAAGAACATGTATGACCTGTGAAAGTGCCTGAGGCTATGCAAAGGGAGATTGTGTGAGCTGCAGTGATGCTCCTCTTCATCTGTTTTCCTTTGTCTTTGTGACTTTCTGTGTTGCAATAAGCATCTTGTGAAATGTCCTGGCGGGGAAATGATGAAAATTCCCCAATCTCCATGTGCTGTGGGGTACACCAGGGTGGGAGGTGGCCTGTTCAGCAGGAAGGCTGTTTCTGGCCAAACTGGTAACCGGGACACTTGGAGAAGTGCGATCCTCTTGCAGAGATGATGAGTGGCCAAGGGAGAGTCACTGCTGGAAGTGCAGGTAACCCCCAATCCTTCCTTCTTCTCTGTCCTCCTGTCAAAGGGGTTGGGGGAAAGACAGGGCTGGGATGAATCCTGAGCATGGTGCGGTGGCCGCATCTCCTGCCAGGAGATGGGGCTGGGGACAAGAGCAAAGCAGCAGATGAGGGAAGTGGGCAGTGCCAGGCTGGCAGAATGACCTTTTCCTAGAGCCAGGGGGAATGGAAGTCCAGGCAGAGCGTGCCCTGCTGTTCCCTTCAGTGCTGTGTCTGTAAACAATGGGGCTGAAGGGCGCTCTCTTTGTGTCATGGCCCTGCTAAAGCTCTCTGCATCATGCTGAGCACAAGTCCCTGCTCCCATCTCTGCTCTCTCCATGGACAACCCAGCCAGGGCTCTCCCAACAGCTCCCAAGTGCCTTTCCCCCTGTGGAAAAAATCCCTTCTGTGTGTCTGGCTGTGCACACCCTGAGCTGGGCAGTCACTCCTTTGCGGGACTGGGCCACTGCAGAAAGGGTCTCACGGTACAGAGGCAAAATGCAGGTAGTGAGAGAAAGAAGTTCTGAAGAGAGAGGAAGAGCAGGGAGATCCAGAAAATGTGTTCAGTGACAGACAGGATAATGGAAGGCAAGCAGGAAGATGTGTTGAGGAGAAAAGAGGTCTGACAGGACAGAGGTGGAGTAAGGTTTGGGCAGAATACAGGCAGGTCCTGTGATAAACAGGGAAATAAAACAACAGCCTCAGGGCAGCCCCTGTGTTATTGTACTCTCTAGCTCTGAGCCCCTGGTAGTGACAGGAAGCAGGACCTGCTTCCAGCATCTCTGGGGCTCCCCAGTCCTTGTAAGTAGGTTGTTTGGGTTCAGAGCACCGAGGGTTATTCTGCTCCTAACTCTGGGCTGGGACATGCTCTCTCTTGCTTTGTGTTTTTCAGCCCCAGCAGAAAGGAGAAACTGCACCTGGCTGAACACCTGGGTCTTCCTTATTTTTGCCCTTCCAATCAAAGCTGTCTTCGTGACCATCTGCCTTGGTGAGTTCCAGGATGCCTTAATTCCCTCAAGATTAAGGGCTCCGGTGACTGCTTTTTCTCAGGTGAAAACCCATATTCTAGTACCTCTTCCAGGCAGGCAAATGCCCTTCACCAAAACAGGCCCCTCCACTCTTATTAGCTTATCCATGTCTTCTTTTTCCCTTTCCTAGCCCCTTCCTCAGAGGGTTTCTAATCCGGGTTTGTCAGCTGGGCAAGTGAGTCTCTCAGACAACTGAGATGAGAGGAGCTCTTCTGAGGGAAGGAATGACTGGTAGTGGGAGAAGTGGCCTGCTGTTCTCACCTCGTTGCTCAATCCAGATTTCATAGCTTGTTACTATAACAGAGTCTCTGTTGGGGCTCCAAAGCAGAAGCTGGAGGATAGCACAGGTTGCTCATGCACAAGATGAGAAGGATGACTATGGAGGGGTTTGATAGATGGTTTGCAAACAAAGCTGAGTTAATAGAAGAAATAATCATAATTGATGATTTTTGAGTGTATCCCTAGCAAGGAAGAAGACAAGGCAATCAGCATGGAAAGAGATAAAAAAAAATCCATTAACATTTTTGTAAGCTAGGCTACATGCGTAAGTAGACGTGCATACATGCCTTATTAAATTTCTGTAAAACTTTTGCCAATTACATTGACATTAATTGCTTTGCACCAATGAATATAGTAAGTTAATGACTTAAGATCACACTTTGTTAAGGGTATATAAGCTGGAGAACATGCAGAATAAAATCTTTTTTCTTCTTGGACCCTGATCATATTTGTGTATGTCACGTCTGACCTAATGGTAACAGACGACAATAGCACTTTGCTTTGCTTTCCTCTCTTCTCAGTGGCTTTACTTGATGGAAGCTCTGGCCATTACAAGATTATCCTCCAGAACTCTACAGAGTGGTATTGTGTCCCCAGCAGTTCTGCAGAGAAAGGTGAGTGATGCTGAGAGCCTCATAAGTAACAAAAGGACTTCACCAAAATTTTGTTTGGTTTCCCCTCAGCCTTTGAGGTGGGGAATATTACTGTCAATCACAAGTGGATTGTTTGAAGGAAGGAATTGAGGTAAGAAGACACTCTATTGTACATCTTTACTAAGAATGCTGTGTAAACATACTCCAGGTCAATGAAAGAGGGTGGGTCATTCCATACCTTCATTTGACCAACCTTCCTACTCTTCCCCTCACACAACCCCTCTAATGCAAGACTGGTCTACTGATCTAGATGAAAGTGCTTTTATGCTGGCTGGTTCAATCCAGCTCCACTTCCTGTGCTGGCTCACTGCCTGTTCACACAAGCATGATGGTCAGTGTGAGGGAAAGAGGAGGGAAGATGATGAGTTCAGAATAGCTGGAGAGCTGAGTTGCAGTCACACATGAAGTGATGGTAATATGGAGTGCTGGAATGCTGGTAGTGCAAGTTCTCAAACTCAGGTCAGAGATCCCTTCTCATGCAGCCTCGACCTTTGTGAGAACATATCTAGCTTTTAACCCACCATTTGAATCTCTGGGCATAAGGCAGATCTCTTGGACAAGCTGGCTGTGGAAGAAACTGCCTGTGGTGGCAGCAAGGCTGAATCTGCATGAGCTGAGGGCTGGGACAACTCTTCTCTGATGGAAGTGTTTCTAGAAAAGCACAAGCCAACTACTTTTCATCTTGCTTCCTCAAGAAGGCTAAGGCAGAAACCATGTCTCTCACCAAAGAGAGGTTGCATGGACATGGCAGGACAGAGACAGAAAGGGAAGAGGCCCCTTCAGGCGAGCAGAAGAGAGCATTTATCTCTGCCCAGGCTTTGGGTTCAAACCCCACTCCTAACCCCTGGGACCCTATATTGAACTCCCAGTCGTAAAGGACAGCACATCTTGTTCAAAAGCAGGATTTTTTTCTCCCACAGTGGATGGCTGGACGTGCTGCCCAAAGGGCTGGAGAAGGTTTCAAAGAAGCTGCTATTTCCTGTCCCCTGACACGATGTCATGGTCTGAGAGTGAGCAGAACTGCAGTGGGATGGGCTCCCAGCTGGTGGTGATCAGCAGCAAGGTAGAGCAGGTGAGTGCACAGGGCTGAGAGAGGGACCCAGCAGGCAGAGGCACAGTGCTGGGCCCTGGAGGGGACTCAGAGCCCCTCCTTGTCCTGCAGGGGAGGGGGAAGGTCCTGTCTGCACCTCTGCAGCACCAGCCCCCTCTGCCACCAGCCCCATCCCATGTGGACTCCTGATGCCTCTCTGTGCTCAGTTCTGCCTCTCATGGACATTGTGCTTTTTTTCTAGGAGTTCCTCTTCAACTTGGCAAAAGAAAAAGCTACCAACATCTATGAAACAAAATTCTACATAGGCTTATCTGCTTACAAAAATAGGAAGTGGCAATGGGTGGATCAGACTCCATATGAGAATACAGTCACGTGAGTATCCTGGTGGAGTGAGGAGAGCCCTAAAATTCATGCCCTCAGTCCAAGTGATCAATACATTGTGTAAGGCAGGTATTTGTCAGAGTGGGAATTCTGTCTTCAGCTGCTCTGCAAGTCAGAAAACTTACACAATTTTCTATTCAAAACTATGGCTCCTGATTTCTATCACAGTGACTTTCCTTTTCTCTTCTACAACTGTTTGAGGTGACTTCACATCCACTGTCATGCTAGTGCATTTCCAATAAAGGAACTTTATTTTACAGGTTCTGGAAGCCTGGAGAGCCCAATTTACTCTTTGCAGAAAAATGTGCTGCAATTCACGTCAAGGGAAACACAGACCCCAACACTTACAGTAACTGGAATAATGTCCTTTGCTTCACAAATTGCTATCGAATTTGTGAACAGGCAGTCAAACTTCTCTGAGAAAGGACATAAAATCCAGTCATCAAAGTACCTCAGTTCCCAGCCTATGCCCTTCATCCCTTTACAAGCTGGAGATCAGTCCTGGATGAAATAGCTCATGCTGATGTCAAGGACCTACTGTGAACCTTTCTACTCTCCTCCTTCAGAAACAAGGGTCCTAAGGGTTCTCCATCACTTTCCTTGGGTCCTGGCACAGACAATATATCTCAATGATGTGGAAAAAGTCATTATTGTTTCATGAAAGGATACCTGTCCTTCAAATCACTGGAGCAGAATTTGAAAGAGCATTCAGTGGAGTATCCTTGTATTCCCCTCCTCTGAAGGGAAAAATTATTAATGGCTGTAGTGTTTCCTTCTCCTTCAGCACATTGTGTGTGGATTAGTTTTTTAAAAAAAATTAATAAATATTAATTCTGCTCTTTGCATGAGGATGTCTTCTGAGTGATGTGTCCCAGATTCCCACAGTCCAGCCTCTCAACACAGAGGTTTTAACTTTTCAGTGCGTTTAGCACCCATAGATGAGAACATTGCTGAGTGTGCTGGACCAGCTGGGAGCAGGAAGAATGTAATGTTCATATGTAGAGCATGTGAGGAAGGTCCTGAACACTTTGGAGAATCATTTGTGAAGCCAGAAACAGAGCAGGCTGTGTACTATTCAGTGCCAGGCAGTTTGCCCAGGATGTAGCAGAAAAAAACAATGGATGTTGGAGATTCTGCCGAGATGTGGCAGAATGAGGCATGGCAATGAAGAGGAGACAAAGCAATTAAATGTAATAAGAAGGAAAAAAGCCAGAGCCTGCTAAGAAGAAATTTTTAATCAGAGAGAAGGGTGGAAGACCCCTATCAGAGGCATCACTGCAAATCTGACACACAGAAATATTGAGCAATGTTCTTTTCTACTTCTCTAAAATTTCCCAAACTCCAGTCTGTATGTTCCTTCCTTTCATCAATGATATCCATATTCTTTGAGGAGCTGGGAGTTTCCAGTTTGGGACTAAAAATACAACCTGAAAAATCAGTTCTGGGTGATTTTTTTCCCCCATTAGAAATGTGAAAACAAATACAAATTTTTGTCATTTCTGCCTGAAAAAGTGCATTTTCCAGGTTTCTGGTTTAGCCACTGGACCAAAAGTTTGGCTGTTGCAAAGTGTTTGCCTCCTAGTTTCTAAAGTTACTGGATACTTTCACAATAGAGAAAACTATTTTTTGTCCAACATGACCACAAACCCAAACATTGCAATGGACTTCTTGATTTCCCCCAGCTCAGTTCTGCAACCTACAGCAACGGGGTTTTGAGGAAGAAAAAGAGGCAGGTAAGATACGCAGAGAGTGACCAATATTTTACAAGTGTTTTTAGGGGTGCTGCAGTTCTGGTTCCTGGAAAGTTGATGGGGCAGAGCAAAACCCACACCAGGAGACTGGTCTGCAAGAAAACACACGTAACTTGCTAGAAACAGTCTCCCTGCCCCAAATTTGGAAAAAGAAGTGTTTCTTGAGAGATCATGACAAAAGAGGGATCTTGGGAGATGATGCTGGGTTTGCCTACAGCATTGCTGAAGGGATGTTCCTGATCCCCTCTTCAATATGGATTTGGCTGATGGAGGTTCCTATCTCCAACAGATAAGAATCAGTCTTTAGCCTTCAAGTCTGTCTTGATTCAGGAGGCAGCAGATGCCACAGCCAGAGGTGCCAATAGACAGTTAGGTACAGCACTTTCAGAAAGCTTCAGAAGGACATTCCTGCACACTGAACCCAGGGCTTGGGTGGGAAGGACAAAACGTTTTTGTCTATCAGACAAAAAGCCTATCAGTTTATCAGAATAGCAGTCCTTGCTCTCAGGTGGATATCTTGTTCACATCCCAGCTGCCTCTCAGAACAAGACCTGGATGCTTACCACTCCTTAGCACATTAACTTTTGCTTTGGAAAGGAACTCAGGTCTGAGGAAAGGAGCCACAGTGACATTCACTTCTGAGAATACACACACCATTGAGTGCAGGTACTCTGCTGCATCAAAATTCTCTTGTGGTTCAAACCTGAGCTAGCTTCTGGTTTTCCTCCAGAAAGTTCATGGTACCCAGTCTTTGAGTTGCTGCCTTCAGCTGGAAAAACATAATTAGAGCAATGTTGGAAGGACATCCAGTGTTTATTCTTATGGTCAGACTTATTAATTACATCTGTACACTGAGCATGCTCCTCTCTTTATGCTTAGCTCTGACAGCTGAGTCTTCCTTTATAGGATATGCCTGACTTTCTCTAATAAATCATGATCCTTGCCAAGCCAAGTGATGAAATAAAGTGAATGTACGTGTTTTTCTTGGCAGACATTATCTTTTATAAGGATTTAAATTTTTCTCCAAGGGTGTCTGTTCTTTTTTTAGACAATGCAGAGAATTACACCTTTACTTTTCTTTTTCTGTTTTATCCCACCGCAGATTCTCTCATGTTCCCTTACAACATTTATTTCTCCACTTCTTTATTTTCTTTGCACTCCTTCTGTCTCTCATACTGTTTCCCCCTTTATTCCTTTTTTTTTTCCTTTTAAATTTTGTTTCCTTTTACCTTTTCTTGCTCGACCACAGATGAAAAGCATACAATGTTGTTTGGGAGAAATAAAAGAGAGAAATAGCATTTAAAGAAGTTCTGTCACTGGACACACATCTGTTCTGTCTTTTAAAAATTAGTGTTTCTGAAATTATTTCCTTAGCAGTCTTGTATAAGGTATTAGTACTAACCCAAGCACTGTTTTCCTTGCAATGTTCTTGTTTTCCAAGAGATCCACAACCCCCAGTTGCTCACTTGTCCAGTTCATTCTGGTTATCCATTGTTTATCTCAAGTTGTCTAAGACAAATACTATGATTTTAACCTTTATGTCTCTACCTGGTTACAAGGGAATAAAACCATTTTTTAAATTTTATATGGAATCAGTTTAAATACCTGAGCAATCTTTTTCACATCCTGCTGCTTAATTATAAATCATTTATCTTGACAGGCTTTTGGACAATCTGCTGGTTTCCTGGAAATGCCTCAGCTGATCATGAGCACTTCAGCACCATCTCCTGTTCACAGCAAGTCACCTGCACTCTCTCAGTGTCACTGTGATCTACCTTCATGAGATCAGGAGGAGATGCAGAGTGCCTGACTCTGTCACTGCAGTCCCTTGTGGTACATCAATGACTCTACATCAAGGTAAGAATTCTGTAACACTCACTAGAAAAAAAAACAACACAGCCATAAGACAAGGAATTTCTATGTTTAGGATCTCAAAATGCACCATAAAAATTGGCTTGTGCTCTGGTCCATGTTTTAACATAGGGGAAATTCAGCCTAGCATTTAAGAACTGGATATGGATCTGGTTGTTTAGATTGGAAATCAAAAGAGACCACTGTAAATCCACTCCAGTGCTCTGTTCCTCCCATGACATTCAATCCTGCTAGGTGAGGCACCTGCTGTCTTAGATCCTCATGCAGACTGAGTTGCCACAATATTACATGCACAATTTTAGATGTCTGCAAATTTACTCTAGCTAAGGATCAAGGAGGTAAGTTCACTGCCTGAACACTCTTTTGCTTCTGACATGAGCTGAAGCCGCTGTTTCTCACTACAGAGTTGCCAATTTTGAAAGCAGAGGATGAAGGCAACCTCTTTCAGAACAATTAAACACATATGAAGGCTTCTCCTGTGCAGTCCATAAGGTCTTCCTTTAAATTATCATCCTCATTTCTCATGGCTATAGCCATAATTTCACCTGAGTTCTTCCATTTATTTCCAGCTTTTTTATCTCCTAACATGTCTCTGTTTTTAAAGTGACATTTTCCCCCCTTTCCAACTCTTCTCATAATGATTATAATTAACAAATTTTGCATACCTGAAATCAGAGTGAGTCTGGAACAGAGAACATTTTGGAGATAACAAAACAGAGAAAGTAAAAAATGGAAAGGGGTTGATTGGTTTCATTGGTAATAAGAGAGCCAATGTTTCCCCTTCTGTGGTTAAAATTGCTCCTGTTGGGAAAGGAAGTAGTGGGACCCACACAGAAAAAGGCAGATTTGTGAGGAAGCCAAGAACAAACTCTTGTATCACATGTACAATGCAGACACGCTTCTCAGATTCATTAGAACAGCACACCATTCATACACCATTTAAAATTACTGCAGAGCACTGGCTTTAGGACAGACAATCACATTTTCATGAGTCAAAACCTGCTTAGGAGATATATTGCTTCATGGGATCATCTGACCAGATGGGGAAAGAAACAGCCAGCTGCTGGGAAGGGTTTGCCCAGACTGGATATCCCCAGGCCTTAAAGAAACCAGTCAAATTCCTCCTGACCAGATATGAAAAGGTTTCTGCCTGCAGATTCATTTTTGAGTCATCATCATCTGGGAGCTCAGTCATATTTTGGTGTTCAGAAAATATCTTGGTGAAGGCTTCCTATGCAAAGGCCTCTTGCAACTATGAATCACAAGTGACACAGTACAAAATACGTGCATGGAAGTTTAGAATTATTCTTCCTGAATTCTTAACAAAATCTTGTATTAAATTCAGTTATTGATCTTTTCACAGGGCATTTTTCTAAGTGTAGGTACCCTCAAAATTTTGAATGCCTACTGAAGAACCAAAGCAGCCCTTTAACACCATCAGATGATTCAACAAACTAATCTGTCTACTATTCACACAAAACCAAAAATCAAGTACTTATATAAATGCTCTTCATCCTGAAGGGCAGGACTGTGCTCACAGGCTTGTTCCTTACTTTTTTTTTTTCCCCGTTACAAGTGTTCTAAACAAAACTGATAAAAAATATCAACCCACCTCTCCATGCTTATAAGTATGCATATTTTAACTATCTCTTCATACTTAAAATATGTAAGACTCTTCTCACAACACAAAATAGAGGGTCCCTGCCTAGAGACTGCACAGTTGATGTGCCAATTAACCCTGGTTGCTACTGAGTAGAATATTGCACCACAACACTGAAAGACTGGCTTGAATGCAGTATTAGGGAAAAAAAGAGAAAGAAAAAGAAAAATAACAATTTTCAGTGATCAGAAGTCACTCTTGGTAGTGCCCAAAGGCTGTGGTTCACTATCACATCTCAAACCAATGCATTCCATAGAGCAATGAGCCTTGCACTGTGCTGAGATCACAAATGACTCAAAACAAGCACATTTTCTGAGAACTGCTTCAAACACTTTTCCCTGAAGATCTGGTTTTCCTGCCTAAGTGTGCTACTTGGAGACAGATCAGGTCTGACTCATATTGATTTGTGGAATCCTGTGAGCTGGCCCCAGTACACAGAGCTGGAGACTAAGAGTTAACAGACAAGATGATGTGGGGTAGGGATCAAATGGTTGCACGAAGTGAGGAAAGAAGCATCCCTGTATTAAAATAATAAATCTGCAAATGTGTTGCAAGCTTAATTTACCTGCAGATCCATGGTCTTCCTCACTTGATTTCAGATGTGCCTCATCACAATGGGCCTGCCTGGCAACCAGTGGAATATGTGTGACCTTGGTCACCACCACAGGACCCAACACTGACCTGAGGACTGATTTCCGTGCTTTACCTCAGACCTTCCTCATCCCTGGAGACTTGTCCAACCATCTAGACCCTGGATGCTGTGCCAGGTGTGCCCTGCTTGCCCCACTCAGGTGTAGTGGCTGGTCCCCAGCTGTCCTACTGCAGCTGGCTCCTGGCCACCGACCCTCGGGGAGCAGCCGCCTCCACTGTGCCCTCACAGTGTCTGTTGTACTACAAAGCAAATCAGGAACTGGAATTCATTTTATTTTGTTGGTTTTTTTGGGGAAGGCAGATTCTTGTCAGTTTGTTTTAGTAAAGTAGCTCTTTACTATTGAATATTATGTAAATATGGAATATTATTCCACAGCTCACTTGAGCTTTGGGTAGAATTTGCTGCTGATGGCCACCTTCTTCACTGTATTTATCATCACTTTGATTCCAATTTTGCTGTTTTTCATGCTGTTTGTAAAAAGCCTCTTTTTTTAGAAAAGACAAAGTTACTGCACTCCTTAACATCTTCCATGAGCTCCTCAGTATTGCTGACAACCATAATCAGCTTTAAAAGTCATGTTCCAGTAGCTTTTCATATAATTTAGATTATCTTTGGTTCTTTTTCCTTCAGGGACAATTCAACAGGCTAAACTGGTTCCTCATAGCTTCAAAGTAGTGCAGGAGGGATACAGAGCCATTCACATCCTTGAAGTGGTGCTACAGTCCACTTGTTTTAGCAAGTCTGAGAGAAGCTGGAAGAGTTTTGTATGTTGGGTTCCACCACAGGCCACGCAGTACTGCTTGAATCTGTGCACAGGATCTGCAGTGTCTGTGCAAATCTTTTTATCTTATGAGATTATGGGTTATCTTATAGGTTATATAGGTTATCTTATGAGAGAGAACCACATAAATCAATCCAGAAGAAACTGATCGGTAATCTCAACAAAATTGTTGCAGAACCACTGACAGATTACAACTTTACTGTTGGATTCAGAGCCATATGAGGCCAGATGTGATGGTTGATGAATAAAATCCTTCTGACAGAAAGACATGTTTGGAGAAGCAAATGCAGTATGGAAACACAACACCCACTTTTCATGCAATCATGGAGTGGTTTGGGTTGAAAGGGACCTTCAGTGTCATCTAACTGCATTGAGCAGGAACATCATCAGATCAGGTTGCTCAGAGTCCAATCCAACCTGATCTTGAATATTGTCAGGGATGGGGCATCAACCAGCTCTGGCTCTGGGCAACATGTGCCAGTGTTTACACTTGGGCCAGCCTCTCTTGAACCAGTTCTACTTGACTGACAGCAGATATACCATGTGAGTCAAGCTGCTGTGAGTTACTGAGTGGTGGCCCGGCCAGCTGATGAATTTATCAGTTCAAGTTGTAGAAAACACCTCTAGTGCTATAGTCAAGCTGAAAGAACCAGCCAATCCTACTGAGAAAAGTGCAATACTTGAACAAAGGTTCATTGAAAATAATGCTGAGATTTGGCCTTTAGGAGCCTCCTCATCACCCATAACAAACTTCAGTTCCACTAGCCTAGTGAATTGTCTTTAAACAGCAGATTTCTTCAATGACAGACAGCAAAATACTGCTTACAACCAACTCTTTCCCCTACCACTGCCCTCACTTCCCCACTAATGGAAGCAATCCTATGTCTGCTAACACCAGGGTCTTACTATACAATAGGCTGCCTATGTGTCTGTTGCATGCCTTAATTCAAGTTTCAAAATCTCCTTCGTCCTGCCTAAACCAGCTACCTGTGTTTCCCTTCTTTCTGCTGCAATTAGCATAAATTCACTCCCACAGCAACAAGATCAATGTGACATGGTACACGTCATTTGGTGGCCAGCCTCCCTTCACTGGGTTTTACAGTGTCCCATTCAGCAGCAGAATATGCTACTTTTGCATACAAGCTCTTGACATTCACAGAAGATTCTTACTCCCTCCAGCAGTCTTCTTGGATATGGTGGAATTGATCTGCTGATTTGAGGATCTTGCATATTTCCCTTACAAATGTCCATCACAGATACAGACAAAATGTCCTAATTATTATACTTGCCATGTGATATCTGGACATCTGCCACCATCCTTTCTGGCCTTGGAAAATGTTGCTGGAATGGCTGCTGGCCTGGCAATTGCATTCACCATCTTGATGCAGATGGGAAGCAGACTCTCTGGGCTGCCCATGTGGTGTACATCAGCAGCTGGTACTGTCAGCAGGACGTTCTAGTGGCCCTAGCTCAGCTCAGGGGGCTGCTACTGACAGATGGTTCAGAACCAGGCAGAGATTTCAGTTCCCCCTAATCCAGCATTCAGGTGAAAAAAGGCAGCCAATTTAAAAAGAATTTTTAAATGTGAAGAAAGAGGACAATCACCACAGGTAAACCCCTTTGCAACGCCTCAGAAACAATAAATTGGATCTAAACAATAATCTGGATGTCACTGTGTTTTACTGAATCACAGGGAGATCCTAGGATGTTGGCAAGGGCTTCAATCATCTTTGGTGACCCCATGTCTACTGCTACTGAAAGCTGATGATATTCAGTTTTTAATATCAAGCCACGTTAAAGGTGTCTCAGACATGCTTATACTGGGAACATGGAAAGAGATTAATCCCTAATTGAAGGTCTTATCAATATACTTTCTGGGCTAAGAAATGCAAAGCTTAATGCAAAGATTTTCCTGGGACAATACATATTTTGACATTTTCTACACACATGACCACAAAAAGAAGAAAAACCCAGAAAAGCAGGAAAATATGGGTAAGCCATAAATGCAGAAATGCCTCTTTACTACAGCTTGGTTTTGGGACCACTTACCAAGCCTGAAGAATGGAGGCTGCACAGCCTCTTTAATTGTGACTGATATTTGGCCTAATGTGCCCTTCTTTGGCACTGTGACATATATGAGGCCACACCACAGATTAGAGACTTCCATGGTGGTTTTTTTCAACTTTGAACAACTTTACCACCAAGGCCACTTCTATTTAGGTCATTTCTATTTAGGCCTTTTTCTGCTGGACACGGAGACATGAAAATACGACCACAGAAAACCTGTGAGTCTACAGTGATTCTTTTTTTTTTATTATTTATTACTGATATATAAGGAATAGGCTGGGACTAGTGAGCTCTTAGGCTCACTAACATGCTTGCCAAAATCCATAATAGCTGAGCAATCATGAAAGAGCTGGGAGTAACATGAACTTTTGTTGCACCTGGAAAAGGCTGGCCCTCTGTCCTGATGAACTGTTGTCTTCCTTCTCTCTGCTCCCTCAGGCTGTCAGGTCAGTGCTTGTATTTTAACCTTTGATGAGTCCATGAGCTAAACCATTACTGACTACAATCAAGTCACCTCCCTGTTTCCACTCTCTCATCTTCATTGGCATGTATCTTGCTGTCAGGCCATGGTTGAAAGAAACCAGATGAAACTTATAATTGACTTACTCACATAAAGATGGATGCTGGGTCACACAGCCATAGAATGCAGGAAGAAATCTACAGCATTTCAGTATCAACTATGCATTATATAGTCTGTAAATAAGCATTGTAAGGCCACTTTCACAAGAGCTGCTGTGAAGTTCTGCACAATAAGAGGAGTTAAAAATTAGGGATTTTAGGGTAAAAAAATAATTATGAAAATCTCATGTTACTGAGATTATAACTTAAGAATACAATGTTGTGAAGGCTACTATTTGCTTTAAAGATCTCTATTCCCATGGTAAAGTCCTTGAAACTGGCCCAGAGACTGCTCCACCCAGAAACTTCCATTTCATCAGAGAAAGGTTCTGTAGGAACTAAATCTCTGAATTACATTCTTCCTGAGAAGCACCTGGAACAAAGCTCCCTGATTATTTAACCCTTCAGAAGACAGCTTAGGTCGTTGCTGATCTGCTGATCCCAGTTGAAATTCTACTGGGGCTGGCCTCCACTGGCAGCAAGAACCTGAAGAATCCAGCATAAATCCAAGCTCATAGTGAGCTATCATGTAGCACATAAGGAGAAAAAGATGATAGGCCATAGCTAGTATAAGAACCAGGATTTAGGTAGTTTTCCTTTATGGTCTATAGGATCTCATTGGATCCTGTTCCCAACTGGGTAGCGAGGACAGTTCCACAGACAGGTCTTTCTTGATAGGCCATCCCCAGGCTGTAAAGAATGGAGCCAAATTCTTATTCACCTGCTGAGAAAACTTCTGTGCCCACAAGTTCATCTTAGAAGTGTTGTCTTTTGGGATCGTGGACATTTTCTGGTAGTCAGAGAAGAGGTGGGTGAAGGGGTCCCAACCAAACCCTTCCTGCAGCTGATGAAAAAGAATACAGTGTACAAACAGTTAAGTTATCATTTAATTGGCATTATTCCTGTGTTACACACAGTAGAAAATTCCATGGGTTTCCACAGTGTCTTTTAGAATGAATGTAAATTTAGATGAAAGCATCTAGGCTTTTCAGGCTTCAGAGTATAACTAATAGCACTAAAGTACAGAAAAATACTTCCCCATTACACTGATCTCCCAAAACAAACAGAGATCAAAGATACATTCAGAGTAGCCAGAAGTGTCAGCAACCTATTATATAAGCTGCTGCTTTGGAGACAGTGAAAGCAGTATCAGAGGGGACACTGGCAGAATAGATGGAAAGAAGGGGCACAGGAGAACAAGGAGTATTGAGAAAATGGGAAGGAGAGATTATGAACAGGGTATGCTTTGCCTAAGAATAAGAACAAAAGGAGTTCATACAGAAAAACTGCTGCTGCAGAATTAGAACTATTCTTCCATGCAACACTTATTCCAGCAGTCCTGTTAGTAATCAAGCAGATGAGACATCCCAGCCTACAAATGTGGGTGAGGCAGTGAGGAGTGGCCAAACTGGTAAGGTATTGTGGGAAAATTTCTCCCCTTAAAACTGTTCCTTCTGTACAAATATTTTGTTATTGGTTGCACCAAAAATCCCCAGAGGATGACTCTTCAGCTTGACAATGCAGATGCTTCTCTGGGATGTGGAGAAGTCAGGATTAATACTCCTCCAGTAAATATTCTTTTCCTTATATGAAGTGTGAGAGCTCTCAGACAAGGGAGCTGAGGGACACTCATCTCACAGCAGTCAGTAGCTTAAGCCATCATGATGGACATCTGCTTTGCACTCCCCAGTTAAAATCAGGCTAAGTGCTCTCTCCATTAGGCTAACAGTTTCTAGGAGGATTAAGGGAAAGGGGGAATCTGTCTTGCATGCTTCCCAAAAGAATGCACTTCAATCTAGGATAGGGTTCCTGTTTCAGAGTCTCGACCACAGTCGAGAGGGATCCAGTTCTGTGTGCAGGAGGCTAGACTGAGCCCATCCTCTTGCTACTTGATGGACTACACTGGCTGCACTCAGTGCACTGGATGCTATGAACACCCTCCTCTCTGTAAGCTTTTTAAAAGGCCATGTAACTCAACAGGAGACTGTTCAAAGCCTGGCTCTTCTAGATGCTTTACAGTGCCAAGGTTTTTTGACAACTAGCCCACCGTCCCAGAGGAAATCTGCTGTGGATTAAAGAGCTGTGCCCAAGTTTGATCCTCCTTTTCCCACGTTGTATAACAAGCGGCAGTTCCTGTTTCTCTTCCAGGGAGAAAGGTTAGTACATTGCACTGAGATATCTCCCCGAGCGGCTAAGCCCAAATCTGAAAAAGGAAGGTTTTCAGGAGATGTGAACTTTAGGCACTCTGCCTCTTTACCTCTCAGGTGCATTCTGGGTCCAAGATAAACCCTCTGACAGTAATCAAACACAAGGCTTCACAGCTACAGTCAGCAGGCTGCAGACATCCCTCTGACACAGGCTTCAGTGACTGCACTAGGAACACACACACATTTTCCCTGTTACCTGCAGGTATGTCTCCAGAGCAGTCCACACGTTCCAGTCCTTTAGCTGAGCACCTTTCTTCAGATAGTCTTTTATCCTTTCCTTCCGGCACTGTGGCCTGAGTGCCTGATGGGCCTGATGCCTGGGAATGCCCAGCACCTCCTCATGAACATAGACAGACCAGAGGTTGCACGTGGCCTCTGTGGTGTGAGGGGGAAATTCCCATGCCTGCTGCTGT